TAAATTACTATTGCCCTTCAAAGGGTAAAGTAGAGGACGTTGATTTGATACACTTTGACGTTGATTTTAGCGCTATCTACGTGCGTAAAGTCTATTTGGAGATCAAATCTATGTAATGTGGTTTCTCAGCAAAAAAGCAGATAAAACTACTTTTGATAAAAGTGGCGTTGGATTTGGCAATCACCCCATAATTATATTTATTTTCTTAATTTCACATTTGGAATTTATAAGTTGGAACCGAAAATTAAAGTTAAATACTAATAATAAATTTAATTTAAATATCTATTTCTCCAATTGGAAATTGTAGTTCAATGATCAAACACATTTTATAATTAACTAAAAATATGTTTCGAAAAATAATATTTCTAGTTAATTTTACTTGGAGATAAGGAACATTAAATATTTAATTTTATAATTGTATTTAAACATCTTAATTATAGTGTAGGTAATACTGCGCAATATATAAATAAATGACAATAAGCATTTACTGTAGTGGCAAATATTGCTACAAATATAGAGTTGGTTTTGAGAAAGAAGAGAATGGCAGACAGTAATAAACTCGCGAGTCAATACGCGGACATCATCAAAACAAATTAAATTATTCCTATTTTTATTCTATAGACACGAACTTTGTGACATTCATTGTTTTAAAATTTGTAGTGACTTTATGAGATATTAATGTTATCGCAAAAATACTCAATACTCCACTTGAAAAGCTCTTTGCTGCGAAACTCGCCGGAAATGAACATATTTTTTCGGTACCAACCATAGAATTCTTTAAAAAATCTCTGGAACCTAAAGTTTGTAACGTATCGTTAATAGGAAAAGTCTTCTACCAGTGACCCGTAGTGAGAGGGCCACGCCCAAAGGCCAACACCCCGTGCCCAGTGGCCCGCTTCGAGCGGCGGCGCCGCGCGCGCGGTCGCAGACGAGGCGGCGCGGGAGCGCGGCCAACGCAAAAGGAACAGCGCGACGCGCACGCCCAGACGACGACGACGACGACGACGACGACGACGACGACGACGACAACAACAACGGCGGCGGCGGCGGCGGAGACTAAGGGCGGAGGCATGCAGGAAGCGGCGCGCGATTCGCCACAGCCTTCATGCGACAGCGTGTGACATTCTTTCGGGGCTCTCAATATTTCAGCCCATTCTTCAAAGAGTAACTAATGATATATCGGTCGCAATATTCTGTCTCGTATTATTTGAAACACTTAACCGTGATTGTTTTATTATTTCAGGATTGTTTTATATTTTCACTTTCCATTCGCTAAACTGCTCTGGTGATTAGTTCCGTTAGTGTAGTGTATGTTAAATTTCTGGTAGTGGCTGTGTTCCTCCCCGATAGAATGTGAGATCCAGAGGCGAACTACACGTCGGCTTGCGGTGTTTTCCTCCAGGTATCTCTGCCAGTGGGACACCGTCCCAAGCGAACAAGCTGAAGCTCTATCTATTTAGCTACCGTGGTGTAGAATATCGGTCACTGTCGGGACTAAATCCTTAGGAACACCCGGTGATCATAGCAAACATCTCCGGTCTACCGCACCAAGCCCTCTGGCGCATTGTAACTATTTTCTGGGTAACGAAAACTCCCCTCTTCCTAACCCGTGGGAGGTAGCTCGTATGCCTTTCTATGGCGGTCGTAGATGGATATTAGTATTGCCCAGTTAACCCATTGAGCCCTCTCTGTCGTAAGAAATCAATTTTTGGGGAGGGTTCCCCATGTCTGAACCGGAAAGGAAGTGCGTGGTTGCGGGCTGCATGGTGGTTGGTTGTGACCCGCCACTCCACGACACCCAAATGTTCATGTCGTTTCTGAGATTCCAACCCACAGCCTTGGTGTAACGGGTACGTGGTCGCAACTATCCCAAGCGCCTGCGCCATCAGTAGAGAGTGCACGGTAGAAAGATCCCTTGATGGTTGGGAGAGACCCACCTGACCAGAATCCGTCTCAAATTTGCGGGACTTTGAGATGGTAGATAGAACGGAGAATACCCGTTGTTGATACGTTACTGTGTGGTTTAGAGCCTAAAGCACATAGGTTCGGCTTGTTACATGCTTACGCTCTTGCTCGCGTGCGTAAACACATTCAATACGAATCATTCACGCAAGTAAAATACTTCCGATTTTTATTAAATATTTTCTCGCTTATACTTTGTATTCCCAACTATTACTTTCAGATGTGAAACGAGGGCGTAGAAAATCCCGAGTAATGGAAAATAAGAAGATCACGAACACTAATTTATCAGTTGAATCCTTAATATTTATACACATTATCATTTTAATACTTTAGAGACATTTTATTTGACACGTAGGAATATATACGAAGGTGTGATGGAAACATGCAGCATAGGAATCGGAACGTTCTCGTTTCTTGAAACACAAGCTCCAGCGAGTGAGACCTATTCCGGTACAAATTCTATTGGCAGGTAATGAAGTCCACTGGCTGTTTTTTGGCAATTCAGTAGTTAAGGTCAACAAGTGTATACTGATAAAGATCGTTAGCTAAGAATTTAATTTATGTTCCTGAAAGTTGCTCTAGTGCGTGCTAAAAGACTAGATCTCCTTCTTGTGCACCATCAGTCGAATGAGAGTTTCGTGATCACAATCGTCATACGACATAAAATATCTTTTTTGATAAAACTTAACTCAAAGTATCTTATTTCTAAACAGTTCAAATTAACTACATTTTGAGTGCATTTCAAATTAGTTTGAATAACATTTCTTTCATTCTTATCAGCAATGGAACTTAACAACAATATATCAAGGTTAAAATCGTTAAGTAGTAAAAATTCCATAAAGGTAGTTCACATGGCAGCCGATGTGTAGTAATAGATTTTTACTTGAGCCGCGAAATAAACGACGCCACATTGCTTCAATTAGATCTGCAAAATTACACTTTTTATATTTGTAATTTTCCATTTGCACTGACGAAATATTAAAACCAGAAAAGAATAATTTTAAAGTACGTTCCTCGCGTATCGAAGAGATCGCATTTGCACTATCGTTGTTCAAGTAAAAAAGTCTTTGGTACAGAACGCAGTAGGTTGGCTACCGCAGAGCGGCCTGATGATGAGGG